ATCTGACTCTCTTCATCCTTTCTAACGCCAGAAACATCGTCTACCCGTATGCAAACTTTGCGTTACGTTGAAATATCAATTGCAATCTGACACTTCTGAACATAACAATGTGAGCATTCGACCTTGCGTAGGTAGAAACGTTTATGTTTCAGCTCCTCAAGTACACTATGAAGATCTGCTTGAGAAGTCCGCGTCTCTGGGTTGTGTATAAACTGGAGTTTGGAGCTGGTTAAACCACACATGGTGTTTTGTTAGACAGCTGCTTCATTTGTGGCTTTGCAGAGTCAAAAAGACTTTTAATGTCGTTTGAGACGACTGTACACAGTCACGCTCTCATTACGCTTCCTTATTCCTCTAAATGGCCCACTATTGAGTCACTGAGAACTAGTAGACACATTTAACCCGGTGCCCTTCAGCTCAGCTCGGCTGTAACTTTAATACATCTGAAGCCTTTACTGTTGTTTGAAAGCAAACATGATTTGTTTGGTAAAGGAATACCAAGCTCAATTGAAACAACATGTTGTTAAAGTCAAAATCTGAAGTCAGAATCATGTCAGTCAGTGGCCAAATAGCTCATTTTAAGCAAACTTGTATTCTGGAATGCAATGCCCATTTCTTTTCACAATCCAATCACTTCCAAAAGATCAAATCAAGACCCACCCCAGTTTTTGTTGAATATCAAATATATAATATACAACCCCAGACCTATTGGAAAAACGTGCCTCTGGCGACATTTCTGCAAAATGTTATATTGCTTCTTGCACGTTTCAGGACACTTTTAAAGTGAAATGTCCAGTGAGTGGCGTTTCAACATCAGTTCTTGCTTTGCTGACTAAAGGGCCATTGAAACCAAGCGCAATAACTATAAAGATTATGATAACGCTAAAGTTTTAATAGTCGTTCTAGTTCTGTGAGTCGATAACGATATTGTTGAAATCAGTGTTATTTTAGTGTATAATTGTACTGTTATATTTATGTTTTCATTTAGATTTTTGTTAGTTTTAGTCATTTTAGTAATTTTGTTTTTCTTATTGTTTGTCATTTTTAGCAGTTTAGTTAGTTTAGTACATCAAGTTAAACTGAATTAAAATTAAAAATGTTGCTTTGGCAACTGTAGCGGAAACAAAGTTTTATTTTATTTTAGCTAACCTTTAATGGTAACACTTTACTTAAAACATGTATGTGTAATACATTTAAAAAATATTCATAATGTATGTAAAAAGATATATATTCAGAATGCATTATATCTTTTCATATATAATTGTAACCAAAGTTAAAATGCATTATAATATTTGAAGGGTGGTTTGTCACGTTTTAATGCATTATACTTTCTAAAGGTGTAATGATAATGTATTATAACTGTGGTTACAATTATTCACGAGATCATACAATGCATTATAATGTGCAATGTGTATAATCATGCATTCAAATACTTTTAAAGAGTTTAAGTAAAGTGTTAGCAAAGTTTTTATTTATTTATTTTATTTTACACTTGTTTTTTTTTTTCCAAGTACAGAATTTATTTATTTGTTTGTTTGTTTCAATTTTAGTTTTATTTAACTATAATAACCGTGGCTGGAATCACTTACAGAATTATTTTTTTTCCCAGTTAATGAACGATGAAAACATTGACAGCCAATCAGAATCCACTTTAATGCATTTAAAGCGGCAGACGACAAAACTGCAGCGCGCCTGTAATAAACAAAACGTTATTGTCCATTGCCGTGGACACTAATATAGTTACAGTTATAGTCATAGTTTTATATTTTATTATAGTTATCGCTCTTGGTGTCTAAAGTTGCGGAGAAGGTCCGTTATCTATTATCATGTAGAGATGTATGATTCACACAGAAATCACTTTCGAACAACTTTACGTCACTAACTTTAACTATCGTGGAAAATCTTTTGCCCTCATGCAAAATTCCCAATCTTATGGATTCCTATTGAGATCCCAGGATCGACTGCACCTTAATTCTGTCCGTCTTCAACACCTCTCCTCTCCGTCAGTCAGGAGCTACGTTCATACTGATGATGGCACAGAGAGCGTTTGGAGTCATGCTCCATTTAGCCAGGGCTTAGTAAGACTCCGCGGCTTCACTGGCGCTTTGTCTCGCGTCTCCACGCTCCTTTGTGTCTGAATCCAGGCAGGGTGCCGCCCTAGACAGCAGACAAAAGCTCTCAGGATTAGAGGAACTGAAGGAGTCGTGAAACATCAGCGATCGCCGGATTTCTCCTGCAGAAAATTAGCTTCATTTGTAGCACAGCTGGCACGCCATTCTATCTTCCACTGAGGAGATGTTTTAGTTCTGCATGAGCTCGTCCAGACAGCACAACTGTAAATGTTAATGATGTCTTGGAGTTTGAAGGAGACAGTGGAGATTTCACCTCAAAGCCTGTCGCGAACACACGTCCTCTAATGTTCAGTTTGGGCCGTTTGTCACAATGATGCATAATATAGATCACATATCAAAGTGTTTTATAGCTTTCCACATCATATTCAAGGCGAGATCGCGGCGTTTAATCATATGTATGATGCCATATTTCATTTCCAGAGGGAGTCGTGACATGGTCCAAAGCCAGTTTTATATTAAATACCTTCTGCGTGTTGCTTTTTCTTCTCGTGCTGCATAGTAGGACTATTCATGGAGTTTTATCTTAAACGCTTCCTGTCTTTAATCGGACAGCTCGCCCTCTGAAATACATTCGACTACCTGAAAGGACCTTTTGTGCAACACTGGCCGAGCAAAAACTAAACGCCGAGCGTTTCTCATTAAAGGCCAGCCGCTGTACATCACACCTCAGAGCGCTGCTGTTCATAAAGAATAAAGAGCACAGCATTGTTACTCCAAGTCCTCTCTGTTCTCTGCCGCTGTACGTCTGAAAAAGGCTTAGACTTTTAAATCATATCATTTTCTAGGCCAATAAAACCTTCCTTACTTCAGTTCTCCATTTTGGATTTTATTTCAGCGTTTTTTCTCTCTAATTTGAATGACTCTTTGATGTCTCAGCTGTTGAAGAAATAAAAACATTAACCTTCAGTGCCATTTACACTCAAATAGGGCTGTTTTATATCAGATTTACCCATACACATGTAATATATGTACATGTATGAATATGAAGTCAAAATATTTATATATAATATAAAGTTGTACAGTTCCCTTTCAGTCGGTCACTCTCGACGTCACGTCGGAGGACCGACGAATTGGGATTCTTTATTTTCTTTATTTATTTTATTAATTTGTTTCTTGGCAGGACATTTTGAAGGAGAATTATGTGACTTATACAAGATAATGGCTATTTTGAAGCATGTTTTTAAAGGGCATCCTAGGGGCCCCCGGAGCCGTGTGGGACACTTTTTTATAATGGATGGATGCGCTTTATTGGACTTCTTTTGGAATATTGAAAAATAACACCCATTCACTGCCATTATAAAGCTTGGAAGAGCCAGGATGTTTTTAAATATAACTCCGATTGGATTCGTATGAAAGAAGAAAGTCATATACACCTAGGATGGCTTGAGGGTGAGTAAATCATGGGGTAATTTTCATTTTTGGGTGAACTGTCCCTTTAAAACTCCCCCCATCTGCTATTGGTCAGAAACACAGAAGCCCCCGCCCCAAACTGACACCATTGGTTGAGTCACTGTTTCTGTGTGTGTAAAAAAATAATATGATCAATAAGTCATGGCAATATATGTTTTCTCCATTACTTTAACTTATCAAAATAATCTAACCAGTTCAACTTCATTTTTAAAGTATATATATATATGTGTGTGTGTGTGTGTGTGTGTGTGTGTGTGTGTGACCCTGCCTGTGAAAGCCCAGCTAAAGTCATTTTTTTGTGATTTACTGTTTTCTACATAAAATCATCCTTCATAAAGATGTAGAACATTCTGTGAAAATATAGTAAGTACATTTTATTCATATAGCACATTTCAACATAGCAAAGCTATCCAAAGTGCTTAACAATGTAAAATCAAATTAAAAGAGAAAAGGAAACACAGAAAAGAATAAAAAAAAGACACAACAATGAAATGAAATTAAAATGCTAAGGAGAAATTATACGTTTTGAACCTGGATTTAAAAATGGTAATGGAAGGTGCAAGGCGGCAGTCTAGAGGCAACTGGTTCCACAGACGGGGGGCAGTGACTGAAAAGGCTCTGTCACCCTTAGTTTTCAAACGGGAACGAGGGACAGATAAAAGAGCCCTGTCAGTGGATCTTAAAAGTCTGGTAGATGACAAAGGGATAATAAGGTCTTTAAGATAAGATGGAGCTTGATTGTTTAGAGCTTTGAAAACAAACAACAGAATCTTAAACTGAACTCTAAAAGGAAGACCTGAGTACAGTGAATTACAGTAATCTAAACGTGAGGTACTAAAAGCATGAATAACCTTCTCCAAATCTTGAAAAGACAAACATGATTTAAGTTTGGAGATGACCTGTAATTGACAAAAACTGTTCCTAACGACAGAATTAATTAGTTTGGACAAACATAATTCTGAGTCTATGATAACGCCCAGGTTTCTAACCTGTGAGGAAATGGAGGGGAAATGATTGCCCAGCTCCTCAATAATATCCAATATTTCTTTGCCCCAGTCAGCAGCCTTGCAGCTGCATTTTGTACCAACTGCAGGCGTGCAAGCGATGACTGAGGAAGACCTGAGTACAGTGAATTACAGTAATCTAAACGTGAGGTACTAAAAGCATGAATAACCTTCTCCAAATCTTGAAAAGACAAACATGATTTAAGTTTGGAGATGACCTGTAATTGACAAAAACTGTTCCTAACGACAGAATTAATTAGTTTGGACAAACATAATTCTGAGTCTATGATAACGCCCAGGTTTCTATCCTGTGAGGAAATGATTGCCCAGCTCCTCAATAATATCCATTCTCATTTTTTTGGGGACCAAAAGCTATAATTTATTTTTTGTTCTCATTGAGTTGGAGAAAGTTATTTGTTAACCATTTTTTAAATATCTGAGATACATTCCAGCAATGGCTGAATGGAATCACCAGCTTTTAATGGGAGGTACAACTGCATATCATCAGCATATAAATGAAACGAAACATTGTGCTTCCTGATAATATCCCCCAGAGGGCGCATATATAAGTTAAAAAGAAGCGGTCCCAAAATAGAGCCCTGAGGTACTCCACTAGTAATTGGGGCAGATGAAAACTTGCCTAGCTCCACAGAAAAATAACATTTATATATTTAATATTGACTGAGTAAGGCCATGTCAAAGATTGAAATCATAGTGAAATTAATGGTTGAAATCAAACTTAGATGCTTGTTATCTCATAATTAGATTTTGAGACTTTAGCCTGGATTTCACAGTATATATTACTATTATTATTATTATATATATATATACACTATATATATTATTCAACTTTAATTCTTAAAAATTCAAGGCTGCATGAACATTACATGACCTTTTGTTCTTATCTGTGACTTTTTCATGTTTACCTCTAAACAGTAATGTTGCATGAGCATGAACAGCGCTGTGAATCAGAAGCTGGTTTCGTGTTGTACCTGTACATCCGAGCGTCACGTCATGGACAGCTGCGTACCTGCTGTGTTTGTGGGTGGTGTGAAGTGACGAGCGGACGCTGAAGGTTAACGACTGAGCGCTGCTGCGGCGCGAGCCGCTCTGAATGAAGCGTGAAAGCTTTGGTTGCAGAGTGTTCATCTGCAGACAAAACAAACACGCAGGAACCTTCACTGCTCGCGTGTGTGCACTGACAAGATAGTTCAGACCAAACGCTTGCTAAATGATGGCTTTTGCTTCTGTTTTTTTTCTTTGTATGGAGGTTCAGGGATATACAACACAGAAATCATTTTTAATCAGTATTTTTTTTTCCAGATGAAAGTTATCCATCACGCCATGATCAATCAAAACCATCAATGCAGACTGAACCGCTGGTACTTGAACCAGTACTGGTTAAATATTAAAAGCAGACTACACAAACACAATGAGGCTCATAAGGCATTTTAATAGGGTGTAGACGTGCTGTTGGCATAAGCATGTTAGAATTATGCTGATTTAACATCACCTCTGATGATTTACGTTAAAAATGCATACTGCCCGTTTCATTTAATATATATATATATATATATATATAATAAAAAAAAAATTGCATTGTAATTCATAAGATAACTTGTTCTTTTTACTTCCAAATACTATACATTTAACAGTGTTTTACTGTAAAATTACATTAATTTGTCCTGTTACATCTATTGCAATTTTTCACCATATTGTCACACTCTCACGGGAAGCACGGGGACGAGGAAATGTGGGAGTTGCTCAAAACCACTAGACTTTAATGATATAAAACAAAACAGGATATAGCTCAGGAATGCAGGAGGCCATGAAGACATATAGCACCAGACGCTCGAGACTTCAAAACAAGGGCTTAAGTAACAAGGGAAGAAACGAGGGAATTAATCAACATAACGAGGAAACAAGGGAAACACAGGTGGAATCAAATAAACATAATGAGGACAGGAACAGGAAGACCAACAATGGGCATATGAGGGAGGGAAGCACAAGACACAGGAACACAAGACTGACACATACAGTGGGGCAAAAAAGTATTTAGTCAGCCACCAATTGTGCAAGTTCTCCCACTTAAAAAGATGAGAGAGGCCTGTAATTTTCATCATAGGTATACCTCAACTATGAGAGACAAAATGAGAAAAAAAATCCAGAAAAGCACATTGTAGGATTTTTAAAGAATTTATTTGCAAATTATGGTGGAAAATAAGTATTTGGTCAATAACAAAATTTCATCTCAATACTTTGTTATATACCCTTTGTTGGCAATGACAGAGGTCAAACGTTTTCTGTAAGTCTTCACAAGGTTTTCACACACTGTTGCTGGTATTTTGGATCATTCCTCCATGCAGATCTCCTCTAGAGCAGTAATGTTTTGGGGCTGTCGCTGGGCAACACAGATTTCCAACTCCCTCCAAAGATTTTCTATGGGGATGAGATCTGGAGACTGGCTAGGCCACTACAGGACCTTGAAATGCTTCTTACGAAGCCACTACTTCGTTGCCCGGGCGGTGTGTTTGGGATCATTGTCATGCTGAAAGACCCAGCCACGTTTCATCTTCAATGCCCTTGCTGATGGAAGGAGGTTTTCACTCAAAATCTCACGATACATGGCCCCATTCATTCTTTCGTTTACACAGATCAGTCGTCCTGGTCCCTTTGCAGAAAAACAGCCCCAAAGCATGATGTTTCCACCCCCATGCTTCACAGTAGGTATGGTGTTCTTTGGATGCAACTCAGCATTCTTTCTCCTCCAAACACGACAAGTTGAGTTTTTACCAAAAAGTTATATTTTGGTTTCATCTGACCATATGACATCCTCCCAATCCTCTTCTGGATCATCCAAATGCTCTCCAGCAAACTTCAGACGGGCCTGGACATGTAATGGCTTAAGCAGGGGGACACGTCTGGCACTGCAGGATTTGAGTCCCTGGCGGCACAGTGTGTTACTGATGGTAGCCTTTGTTACTTTGGTCCCAGCTCTCTGCAGGTCATTCACTAGGTCCCCCCCGTGTGGTTCTGGGATCATTTTGACCCCACGGGGTGAGATCTTGCATGGAGCCCCAGATCGAGGGAGATTATCAGTGGTCTTGTATGTCTTCCATTTTCTAATAATTGCTCCCACAGCTGATTTCTTCACACCAAGCTGCTTACCTATTGCAGATTCAGTCTTCCCAGCCTGGTGCAGGTCTACAATTTTGTTTCTGGTGTCCTTTGACAGCTCTTTAGTCTTGGCCATGGTGGAGTTTGGAGTGTGACTGTTTGAGGTTGTGGACAGATGTCTTTTATACTGATAACAAGTTCAAACAGATGCCATTAATACAGGTAACCAGTGGAGGACAGAGGAAATCAGAAGTAAAATCCAAATGGAGCTTCATTTTCACTTTTAATTATTTATTTGTTTTGGTGTAACATCAATGCGTTTTACTCATTTACTGAAACTGACAAATACCACTGTAAAAAAAAATCCTGTTGTTTTTACAAAAACAAAACTAGCAGCTGTGGTTTTATAGGATAATATGGTATAAAATGCAGTAAAAATATAAACAACTTTGCAGAACAACCTGTAAATATTACAGTTTAACTTTTTAAAACCAGTACATTCAACAGCCATTTCTGGGAACGTCAATTTATATATATATATATATATATATATATATATATATATATATATATATATTTTATAGCCTAAGGCACCCCTGTGCAATAATCATGCTGTCTAATCAGCATCTTGATATGCC